CACCAATCCCACGTCGAAAAACATTATATCCGGTCCACCATCACCAACAAACTCCTCGCCTCCTCTAAGAGATCCTCAACCGCTCCCAGTTCCACCAAGAAAGATTTCGCTTCCCTTAAAACCTTAAAGAACCATTGCGATATTATAATCTCCAGATCCGATAAGGGCTCTCAGGTTGTTATGATGAAGGCGGAGGAATATGAGAGAAAAATGCTTGACCTCCTATCTGACCCAGACACGTTCCATGAGATCCCAACTGAACGAATCACTGCTCTTTCCGATGGCTTTAAGTTTGCACTCAGGACGCTCAAGAGGAATGGAAGCATCACCCCCGAGCAATTCCAGCGATTCACCTCCAACCTTACCGGCGTCCCCTACATATACGGCCTCCCTAAGACCCATAAGCCCCACATTCCCCTTAGGCCCATTGTAGCCTACCACCTCTCCCCTGCACTACAATTAGCTAAATATCTCACTGACCTCCTTAAACCTCTCGTTAAGGCACACAACCTCTTTTCAGTTCAAGATTCTACCGAATTTCTAACCAAATTAAAGAGTGTTCCCCAGCCTGATAAACTTATCATGTCCACCTTCGACGTAACATCCCTTTTCCTATGCCTTCCGCACTCTTTGATTACAGACGGTCTTAGTTCACTCCTTGCCTTCTCTACATTCTCTAGCAAAGACCAAAAATCGATAATAGATCTGTTTACTATCTGTCTTGGCATGAATACCCTCGAATTCAACAGCCGTTCCTTTCTACAGATACGAGGCTCCCCTATGGGCAGTCCTCTCTCCACAATCGCAGCGGAAATTGTCATGCTAGGGCTGGACCAATGGCTGGTGTCCAAAGATCATTTGGGGGTCGTTACTTGGTTACGTTACGTAGACGACATCTTCTGCCTACACCGAGATACCGATCATTTACCCATTCTCACCGCTTTAAACTCTTACCATCTGGATCTACTTTTTATACACAACCCGTCCCGCTCTAACTGTATTCCATTTTTAGACATTTTAATTATTAACACCGACGATAAATTCCACACAACGGTCTTTCACAAACCCGGCTTTACGCCCTCGTACCTACATTTTTCATCCCACGCCCCCGTCTCCCATAAGATCACCACCGTCCGAACTCTTTCCAAACGTATCTACACCCACTGTTCCCTCCCTTTCTTTAAAAATATCAAGAGGCGCACGGTCTACTCGCATCTCTTGTCCGCGGGCTATCCACGCAGTTTTATCGACCGACATTTTTTCACACCCAATCAAAAAAGAACCACACCTCCTTTATTTAAAAGCACCTGCGTCCTCCCATACTCCACCACGAATTCCGGTATTGGTTCCTTTTTACGTAAATTCGGCATTCGCACTCTTTACAAGTGCACACCTTCCCTTTACACCTTCCTACGACATCCAATCACAAAAAGCTCCGCCAAACGTAACCCCCAATCCCTTTCTAACGCCGTTTACAAAATTCCTTGTAACGATTGCGATTTATGCTATATTGGAGAAACAGGCCGAACAATCGCCATCAGAGCCAGTGAACACGCCCGCAACATCCGCTCGAAAGACAAAAAATCGCTCATATACCAACATATCGCCGAATCCGGACATTCCTTTAATCTCGACAATACAACCCCCGTTTATAGCGATATAGCAAATAAATACCAACGCTTAGTTCTCGAAGCCCTTGTCTCCAATACTACACCCAGCCTCAACAGAAAGATTGACCTCCCGCCCCAATATTCTGCTTTTTATTCTATACCAACAGATACACCTCCTTCGTAACTTTTAACTTTATCTTTATTCCGCTCTTTTTTATATTCTCGTTTATATTCTTATTTTTATTTTTATTCTTGCTTTTGTCTTCGCCTCTAGTTTTCCGCCTTTTTTCTCTTCATCCTAGGTATGCAGATTTTCTTAAATCTATATATTGTACACTTTTAAATATTTTTATTACTGGCATGCAAATCTCAAATCTTTTTAATCTTTTATTTCTTGTTTAATATTTTTTATGCTAAACTGTCGCTTATAAATATAGCATCTCCTTCTCATTCATGTCAATACCTGATGAAGGACGGCTGACGTCCGAAAGCTCGTATACTGCTTAATAAAGAAACTTACCACGTTCCTCTTAATCTCTCTTTTTATATTCCAAACGTGGCTTATCATGTCCAAAACACTATATACATTTTTGAATGATTTGTTATCACCATTTTAAGAGTTAAAGTTTAATATTTAAAAAAATGTCAAATATATATAATAGGAAAACATGATATTAATTAAAATTATAGTAATAATTTATTATCATTATAATATTCATAAATAATGGTTTCCACCCAGATATTCGTCCAAAAGAAACATAAGTTCTCTTCCAAACAAAAGAAAAATGTAAAATAGGCAGTATTTCCTTCAATCATAATGCTGTATTGGATAATAAATGGAAAAATACAATACTTCTTTCAATTGTAATATATCAAACTAATTCATCAAGTACGTGTTCATATACATGCTGATCATGTGAATTAATGTTACATTAAGCTGTTCATTTATTCTTTTGCGCAATCTTGTTCACCTATTCATTATATAATTTATCGCCAAATAAAAAAAATAGCTAAAACCTTCTCTTAATTAAGAATATTTTATAACAAAATATGTCTGTTGATAAATATTTATGAAGTCGTAGAGGAAGAGAAATATCCTTTATTACCTAAAGATATAAAACTATAAAAGAAGGACAAAAGATCAAACTATATATACATAAGCAGCTCACGCAGGCCTGCCCTATCAATTAACCGCTAGCCAACTACAACAATCCAACAAGACCGCGCCATATAGGTAGAGATATCAATCAGCATAGGCAATACTAAAACTTAATGCAAATATCTGCATATCAAATGTCGTTGAAATATCTGCAACTGTCAATTTCAACAAAGCCTTTATTTGTTGTAATAGTCATCATCAATTACGAGCTGAATTAGACCATTTTGAGTACCTTAAAAGAATCAAACACATTTTATCATCATTATCTCCCTTTTATTCCATATATTTAGATTCTATTAAATTATATAACCTCTTTGAAATTTTAAAAATCTTTTAAAGAAAATATATTTGAATGTGATAACAGATATTGATGCAATTGTGTACATTTTAGAGAAATAGAATGAAGATTTCTATTTAAAATGAAATAACTATATTTGAAGGTCAGTGGAAATTCAAAAATATATTCGTAAGGTGTACAATATTGTGAAAATATATGTATATATTATAATTAAAAAGGGCATTTCCTGACCACGAGCACATGTGCTTTTTTTTCTATTGTTTTTTTATATATACATATGAATGAAAATATGCTTATGTTGTCGGTCAGTGTATGGATCTCTTTTGTTTTTTTAATATACAACGTGTATAAATTACTTCAATTGATTGAACGGCATATTTTGGATAGAAAATAAAATTTAAACATTTTAATAATTGCAAAAATCTAATATTTCGTTAGGCAGTAGGCCTCTCTCTGTCAGGGTCCTTCCTTTTTCTGTGTGTGAAAATGCATTAATTAAACACACAATGCCTTTCAATTTTCATTCATTTTGCTCACTGCTTCACAAATATTTAAAATATTGAAGCTGAACGAAGGATATATATATATATTAAAAGGAAATATAAAAATCCAGGTTTCATTAAGAAAAAATATATAAGAACGAACCAACATAACTACAAACAATAGCAAAGAATTGAAAATCTACTGTGCATTGCAATACATTTATAGCATTGAAAGAAAAACAAGAATATAAAGTCAAAATCCTATACAAACCGCAGCAAATTTGAAGAAATTACTTCGCCATCATAACACAGAACATAATAACATTCAAAAATTCAAATGAAACATAGTATATCACATTCCAGAGAAGAAATTAACAGAAATCTGCTATAAAGAGTAAAACCTAAACACAAACAAACTTTAAAAACCATAGCTTAATATCTCTTAAGTGAATAACACGTCAAACAGGACCATATGACACATTTAAAAAAGATCTGCAATTATATACAACAATATTAGGAATAAAACACGGTGCTATTTTTATAAAGTTGGACCTCAATGAAAGGTAGCAACAGTATCAATAGAAAAATCCAACATTCTTCAGTTTTATTTACAGTTAAAATCTACTTAATTCTTATTATAATTTTCACACACACATGGGTCATTTATTTTTATCTATATTAGGAATGTACATATATAATCTATACTTATATAAAGGTGTATTATATATTTGTGTGTTTTTGTAAATGTTTTATATATCATCGCCTAAAAAGCCATCGCGTTTTTTTGAATCTTACATTTAAAAAAAAAAGAGACCCTGACAACGATAGGCGTACAACCTAACGAAATATTGATTTTTATGTTTATTTGTTTTTTTTATCCAAAATATATTATGTCATTTAATGAATAATTTCATATATTTATAGCGCAACCCTACCCGAGTGTATTTAATGAAATTTTGAAATAACTTTCTTTGAGCAATATTTATCTTAATTGATTCGAATCTCGTGTATTTTAATCAAACAAATGCTACAGGTTTCTGTATATGAGTTTATCTCTATATATTAAACCGTATCTCTATGTTTTACTCATCTCTCCCCCCCTTCTACAAGAGTACATAAAATATATAAAATATTATAAAGGACTGCGGCGAGTGATTATAAACAATACTTAAAGTTACACCGCATAAGTTTCTTTTTTTTTTGTGAAAAATCAATATTTATTTCAAAGAGAAATATTTACTATTTCTAACTTTTTTGAATGAAGTATGAGAGGGTGAAAATATGAAGAGTAATGGTGAACGGAAAAATAAAAGTGTCCAGGGGCGGGAATTTTTCACAAAAAAAAGAAACTTATGCGGTGTAACTTTAAGTATTGTTTATAATCACTCGCCGCAGTCCTTTATAATGTATTATAAGTTACTTTAAATATTATTTACGAACGGAAGAATACGTCCAGGGTAGCCAAGTGGACATGGCACCTGCCCGGTAAGCAGAAGGTTGTGGGTTCGATTCCCGCCCCTGGGCACTTTTATTTTTCCGTTCGCCATTACTCTTCATATTTTCACCCTCTCATACTTCATTCAAAAAAGTTAGAAATAGTAAATATTTCTCTTTGAAATAAATATTGATTTTTCACAAAAAAAGAAACTTATGCGGTGTAACTTTAAGTATTGTTTATAAAAGATTATATCTCTAGAAACTGGTGGAAATTGTTCAATTAATATTTATCTTAAATGATATGAATCAAGGGATTATAATTTTCCAAAATGTTAATTATTATAATATAATCATTATCACTCTAATTAGAAGTCTAATTAATTATCATTATTGCTATTAATTTCTATCATTATTCAGATGAAATTTTCCAATTACTACATTTTAAAGCTTGATAATGAAAGATATCATCATATTAAATAATATTTGTTACTTAATTATTCGTTGGGCGAACTTAACTAGTGTATACAGAATTGCATTTTGTATCACTCGAGTAAATCCCGAAGATTTCCCAGCTCAATCGGCTAGAGTAAGTATAATATAAGTAAAACATGATGAACTTTTAAAAATTATCTTTAATCATAAATTATTTCTATTGAACATAAAGAGATATATTAAGATACAGCTTGCACTACACTTATGAGAGCCAACAACCCTAAACGCGTACAATAATATTTTTCTTGATTAATCAAGAATGGGTATTTGGCCAATTCTGGAATAATAAAAAATCCACGAATAAGCGCAAGCCATCATCAACTCTTAGTTGCACGTTGAGGAGATTCATTTTTCTAGATTTATCCACCTTAACCCATTACAATTTTACATTTGTATATATTTTTTTCACATTGAATATTTTAAAATATAATAATAATAAATATTTTAAGTTTACAACGACAGTAGTAGAAAAGATGTTGTGTTGAAGATTCAATGCAATACACATAGTGATGCAAAAACCTCGAATATAAAAATGTCCTTCTAATAAAATCACAAAAATATATAGTTCAATAATTTATATATCTATAATATAACTTATATCCATTAATATCATTGAGTGTGCTTTTATAATCGATAAATTTAAAATATTAAAAAATAAATTATTATGAATTTTTAAAGCCTTCATTAGAAAATTTTCAAAAATAACCTCAATATAAATAACAAATTATTGTGAAAAACAAAAAAAAAAAAAAAAAAACAGCAACACCCAGTTTCGAATCTTGGCTGTCCCAACACAATGTTCACGTAATAGTACGTAATAAAACCGCACTATGGCTTAACATAGTACAAATCAACTGGAAAGTTATTTCAGGCTTTCCAATTTTGAAAAATCGTTTTCAGAATTTTCTTCAAATTCATTATTAAATATTTATTTTTATATACAATAATTTCAAATAATCATAACCTTTATTATAGGTACACATTTTTGCAATCATATTTATGAAATAATAATATTTTTATTCTACACTCTTTATTTTTCTCTCTCATTATATTAATATATATATTTCCATATCAATATATTGATTTCAATACTATAAATCTATTATTACTAAAATATATTTCAAGTTATTTATCTATACTTATAATCAAACATCTATATATCGAGATATAATACTCAAAAATAATCACTCACAACCGTATTTATAAGTTAGAGAAATATGCGAAAGAAAATATCAGACTAAATCAATTGAATTAAAAAAAGAAACAGACGAAACTCTAGTTTACAAACCTATACCAGACGACAAGAACTGAATTGTAATAAAAGAAACTTATTCCTTGGTGTAACAGTTCAAAATGGAAATGAAGAACGAGTGAATTTAAACTGAACCTAAAAATGAGGTCTCGGTATTAAAATTCATCCGGATTTGGACGGAAGAAGAACAAACAGTTTCCGGACTACTTCATTACATTCCCCTGGGGAGAGGATCGACATTCTGTTTCGTTAGATTCTTGGCTTTTATTTAAATTCAGACTTTGTATTTCTTCAAGACACTTTCAATTAGTCCTGAGTGAAATTGGTTGAATTTCTCGCACGACCAATTTAAAATATTGCCCCAACCTTCATCAATCCTTGGTTATAAATGGGAGCTTAACTGCAAGATCCTTTAACATCTTTATTAATATTTCCTTCAATTAATTAATTAGAGAACGCCCTTTTCTCTTCTTCTTTATCTTTAAAACCTTCACTTTTTATTGCCGTTAACATAAATCATTGCTGTTGTAGAGTCAGTTTGGCTATTGTCCTTACAAAGGATGAGATGCTGAAATTCCTTGAGAGAATTTGTAAGTAAGAAATAAATACGTTACAATACCTCTCTTTCTCGATCTTATATATATATATATATATGTTATAAAAGAAAAATGAGATTCTGATGTAATGAGATTAATTACTTGTAGAGGAATTATTGGTCATTTGCGTGATCCCGGAATCCATGTACATGTGATATTGTTCTGCAGTCGTGGCAATAATTAAATATTGATAAAAATAGCTTTAATCGAGCTAAAGAAATATATTAAAAACATAATTTGATAAAGGTAATGACTGGCTTAAGGCGTAAGAATATAAAAAATGAAAAACTTATTTACATAATGCACAAAATTTTTTAGCCGGCCATCGGGAAACAATAACAACGAGTTTTATAGGGGAAGAGTGACCTATGGCGGTCGATTTAGCAGAGTATTTGAATCTATGAAATATAATTTTAAATAAAATAATATTTTAATATAACATATATATATGATATAATTCTATTCTAGATGTGTGAAAAGAATTAGCAGTCGTTTGTGGCCATCTCCACTTCAATAATCATCTCTTTATTTTCCTCAAATCTTTTAAACAAAACAAAATTTACATACACCATTTAGTTAAATCTTTAGAAAAAAAAACAAAATAAAATTTACATTCTATCATTCAAAATGTATCATATATATATATATATACTAGAACGCTAAAACATTTCAAGGTATTACAACATATTTATGTTATAAATAATGTTTTATAATAGATTATTGCATAAACATCAGCTGTTACGCATTATTGAAGCGTGGCAGGGAAAAATAAAATATATAATTGAAGATAGTTAGATAATTTAGAAAAATATCACTTAAAAAAAAGAAACACAATAGAAATATCATATAAGTAATAGAAAAACACACCATAATTAATATAAAAAGGAATATATACAAATATAGTATATATGTGTGAAAGTATTGTTGCAACACTAATTTTTATAAAAGTCGATATTCAAATTAAATATGAATAATATAGTTAACAGATAAAATATCTAAATGAAGATTAAGAGCATAAATAAAATGGAATATACAGTGAAATATTCCCTATTTAAATATTCAATTTAATCTCGCCCATAATATTTAGAAAACAAATAACAGATTTAAAAAGTTTAAGATTAGGTTCCATAAATTAAATTTTCATATTATTCAGTCATTAAATAGTGAATAATTCGAATCTACTCGTCTACACCATATTCAGCCAACAGTCTATAACAGGGATCGGCAAACTGCGGTTCGCGAGCCACAAGCGCCTCTTTGGATATGAAGCTGCATCTCTTTATATAGTTCCTTAGCAAATATTATTTATGCGAGTACAATTTATTGTTATGGAGAAAACATTTTGTGGCTCTTTAAAAATTTTGAAATTTCATAAATTGCAATTTTTGGCTCTTTTTTTTACTCAATTCTTGATTCAAAAGTTTGCCAACCCCTGCTCTATGTGGATGGGTGAACTGTAAGTAATTAAGTCTGGATTCTAACCTACCAGTAGAAGTTGTTGTCTTATCAATGTGGTGGCGGCATATCTATGGTCCTGGCTCATCATTGGTAGGCGATGGTTCATACACTTTGTCAGCAGGCGACAGTCTCTTTTCGGATTAAAGCGCAATCACGGGCACGGTCGATGTGTGTAGATTCCTTAACTGAAGACCGCAGGTTGCCGTTGATATTAAGGGGCATTCGATTCAGATGTTGAAGAAACAAGGCTGGCTTTGCTTGTTGATGCTTCCAATGAGTTTGCGATTGAGAGCAAATCACTAAGCTGGATGACTTCGCAGCAATTAGTAAGCACACCATTTCTGGTTTAATGTCAGATGTAAGTCCATCCAGGATTAACTCTTGTGGCAATATTATATTTATACCAATTATCAGCTTTTCGGAATATTAGTCGCCTTTTCAATGATACGCTAACCTTGGCTTAAGCACGGAGGATTCTCTGGCCACTGGACATGGGTCGGACCTGGGGGCTGTTGGGCTCTGCGCTACCTGGAGTATAGGAGCTCCATCTATGCTTCCTTTCTGTGGTGAATCTGTATAATACCGGTGGTCTTAATAAAGCTGTTTGTGTGTGCAATATTAGTCACCAACTGTTTGTTCATTTCTTTCCCTCATCTGACATAATTTTTGATCGAGTCCTTGCTCGATCTCCGGGGGAAAAAAAGAGAAATTCATGTTTGTAGAGATCTTCTTAGAAATATATCTCGTCACAAATTGTGGCTTACACTTATTAGATTTTCTCTTGATTCTTTAGTAACTAATAGCGCCATAAGAACTTTGCATTTATTTCATCTATATCAACAAAGGGGATTATTTATATGTTCTATTTCATAATGAGAAAAAAGGAAATTTTCTTGAATACTAAATCTGACGAATAAGAAGCGTAGATCAAGTTGGTCAGGCTTTAACTACATAATTCTTTAATTCTTTCGGTAAAAAATAAATATTTGAGCTCAAGCTTTTCCGTAAGTCTTCGCATTGCCAAATCAATGGTCAAATAGCGCTGAATTGTATCCTAGATCACACAATCAAACTAATTATTCGATTTCGTGTATTGTTCTAATATTTACAATAATGAGATCACGGATTTTACCGATGCCGTCCTTAGTTCGTGCGTTTGAATGACGGCAGGAACGGGCCGATCTGCAATTAAATAAAGCAGCCAACAAGAAAAATACACACACATTATGCATATATATAATATTTACATAATGGAAAAAATATCTTGAATCTAAAATTCTTCAAATTAA